CGGCTGGCGGGCCCCCGGAGGAGAGCCTTCTCTGTGGCTGCTCCGACCCTTTGGAATCAGCTATCCCTGGAGATCCGGACCTTACCCATTCTCATGGCCTTCAGGAAAGCTGTAAAAACCTGGCTGTTCCGGCAGGCCTGGGGCTGTTGACCTCATTGTTGAGGTCCGGCCCCGATTAGAATGAATGTATGAGGGTGTTTGCTATTTTAAACCGTTTTCTTTCGTTATGTGTTCGTTATGTGTCTTTTCTTTTTTTGTAAGCCGCCCGGAGTCCTTTGGGATTGGACGGCATATAAATTTTATTAATAAATAAATAAAATCCTCTTGTAAGCCAGGTGAAGGAAGTGCTGGTTCAACTTTGGCAAATGAAGAAAGCAAAGGGTCTTTCTGAGACTGGAGAATGTAGATCCCAGCAGCACAGAAATATCCTTCGCTGTTCTCAAGACCACAGAGGTGTCAAAATGTTTCCCCCCCCCCTCCGGGCAGGATAAATGTGCTCCCAACCAATGAATCTAATACTGTACCCCTGTATTTCTGCCTTAGGGAATCAGCTGCTCTTCACGGAGCCCCACGTCTACGATTACCAGGTCCAAGGGGCCTTTGCCCGGGATCTGCCTGCCTTGTTGAATGCTTCCGAGGGAGAACATGTTCAGGAGGAGCCATGGACCTCCCAGATGACTCTGACATCAAAAGGGGGCAAGGAATTTGTCAGCTTTGCAAAATTCCGTTCCTTTGATGATGGTAAGTAATGATGGGGGGGATGGTAAGTCTTGGTAGGTGTAGAAAGCAGTGGAGTTACTAGAGGGAGTAAGGGAATGTGGTCACTGCGTTGCATCAAAACTTGCTATGATTTCAACTCCCCAGATCTGTACTCCGGCTGGTTGGCCCAGGCTCTTGCTACCGATCTCTACGTTGAGTTCTGGCTGAAGTCTCAAGGGATTTTGGCATCCAACTGCTCTGGGCAGTACAAAATCTACAATGTGGAGAAACTGGCGTTCCAGCACCCAGCTACCACCTTCTTTTCCACATCGGACCATTCCAAGTGGTGCGTTGGAACAGAGAGTGACTCCGGGTGGGCCTGTGTTGGAGACATGAACCGTAACCTTGCAGAGGAACACCGTGGGGGTGGTACCGTCTGTTGCCGTGATGTCACAATCTGGAAAAGCTTTCACTCCTTGGTACAGAACTATACCAACTGTGATACAACAGGATATGGACTCTAATGGGCCAAGATTGTCTGTTATGAAGGGAGCAGAATTCGGTTAATTGGGAAGGAGGACTAGGGATGATTCAAAGGAATAATGGTTCCCCCTGCCTGTCTTCTTCACAGCATATTAACTCCCTACATAGCTCATGCAGTGAGTTGTGCTGTTGCTTTGATCTCCTTATTTTTCAGAAAACGGTTCCTTTGTGTTCTGGACTGCTATTTTTTCCCCTGCTACATGGCAACATTTCCAAGGGGTTACCTGAGCTATATGGGAAAATACAGAAGGAAATTCTTTTCCTGAAATAGAAAAAATGTATATGGCGTTTATTTTGTATAATTTCCCAAAATCTGAGTATTCCAAGGAAAATATTTTTATGTTGCAAATTCTACGTGTATGAGAGAAATAGGCTGATCCGAGAGGCTAAACCTCTCTGCCCGCTTCTAACGGGAACGCCTTTAACAAGGCCGCTGTGGCCTGTTTAAATATAGCATCTCTTAAACCACAGCAACCCCAAACTTATTAACTTCCACACGTGTATCATAATTCTGTATATTTACAGAATACATGGTCTACTGAAGTAACTCAGTTTGAAATGGAGTGACTCGGTCTCCTCTCTCGTCGTTCTTGGCTAGCTCATGAATATAGTTTCATCACCCAGCAGGTCGTGGAAGATGATCTCCCACAAACATAGAGGTGGATAAAAGAAGCAGAGCCTTTCAGAATGAGAAAAAGAAAAATACCAGAGACAAAATGAATAAAAGCTAAAATGCTTTAAAGATGCATTTTGATGTGTTCATCTTTAAATCCTTTTATCTGTTTTTACAAAAAAAAACAAAAAAAAACAGGCCTGGTCAAAAATATCTTGT